TATTCCCCTCAATTCATCATCTCATTTTATCCCCCAGTTCCATAGTAGCAAGGTTCACCCCTTGAGTCAATTGCATCTAACAAAAGACTCCCAGCTCCTACATACAGAGAACACTTTGATGGTTACCAGATTGGGAGGGGGGGGGGGTTGGAAGAATAAGAGAAAAAGGTGTAGAAATTAAGAAGTACAAATTGGTTGTTACAGAATAGTCATGGGAATGTAAAATACAGTATAGGGAATATCTAAAATATTGTAATAAATGGGTGATATACTAATTAGACCAGACATTATTCCAGATGTCTTTCCAGACATCTTTCTGGACAGAGGGAAGCCGCAGCCAGAGGGAAGCCCAGGTCCCAGGTGCCAAACAGAAGCCGGTGCCAGCACCCAGGGGAAGGAAGACCTACTCTTGCACAAATTTTATGCATTGGGCCTCTAGTAGTCAATAATCTTATATAATAAAAGCCTAATATACTGTCAGGTTGACTGGTTGGCTGTTCAACCAATCAAAGCATAATATGCTAATGATTTGCTAAGGCCACTCAACTGCTCACTATGGCAGGCACTGACCACCAGGGGGCAGACACTCCGACCAGTAGGTTAGCTTGCTGCTGGAGTCCTGCCAATAGGGATTGAGAGAGATGGGCTAGACATGCCCTGAGCCCTCCAGCAGTCCATCTTTGGCTGACCAACCTCTTGCGTCTCTCCCCAGTCCCAATTGTGCACTGGTGGGGTCTTTTAGTCTTGGCTGAAAACTCTTTCAATCTGGGACCCCCTGAGGGATGTTGGAGAGCCAGGTTTTGGCTTGATCCCACAGGCCAGACTGAGGGATCCCACTGGTGTATGAATTTATGCACCGGGCCTCTAGTGTTCTAATAATTATGTATGTGTGAGATAAGTATGAGATTTATCAGGATAATCACCTAATAAGTTATATTTCTAATCACTGGGGTGTTCACCTGAAACAAATATTGTATGTCAACTGTAATGAATTTAATTTTTATCATAGTTTGTTTCCCTAAAGATGACAAACTTCTTGAGAGCAACTGTTATCTCAAATATCCTTTGTGCAAGTCTTCTAATGGTGGACAGTTAATATAAGTGATTAAGGAATTTTATTTAGCTTCTAATAATGACTTCTATAGTCATACAGAAAAAAAAAAAAATTCTATTTGCAAACAGAGCTGATCCAAGCCAAATCACTCAAATTACCACAGAGTTCCAAATGCTCTGGAAACTGCATTAACTCACTATGCAAAGAAAGATGCAAACATTATATATCTGCAAAAACCCTCTCTACAATGTATAATTGGACTTTGGGAGAGGTGGCTGAGCTTCTAGGGTGATTTTCTTTTTCAGCCACAGAGCTCATAATTCATATTCTATCATGCCTTCTCTTTAGGGGAAATTTGGCCTCTTCAGGGTATTCCTCAAATGCTCTTAAATAATTTTCTAGTTTATTTGTGGACTCAGGACTACAATCCCACCAGAAATCCAAAAACATCTCCAGATCTCTAAATTAACAGTTGTTTTTTTTTTCGTGTGTTGTCATCTCCCCATTTTTCCTCTCTCTGCTAGCTCTAGCCTTCATCTCAGAAAATTAGAATCAACAGTCCTCTGTAACCTTGGCAACGATGATGATAGGATAATAGAATTAGAATTTCCCAGGGGTCTGTTCTATCATCATGCTCTTAGAAGAAAAAAATACAACACAATTTGAATTATAATTTGTGATACTTTAAAGTGGCAGTGTCCAATCATTTTAAAGTTATGGCATTTATTGATAAAACTTAATGTGTATTAAAATTTCATTGATTTAAAAAAGTTCAACCACAAGAATAAGACAGGAAATCTGTCTCATTTCTTTTCTTGTTTATTTTATATATACTATATATATAAATATATATATATATATATATATATATATATATATATTTCAGCCAGACATATGTTTCTCTTGACATTCAGCTTTTTCATTAATTTAAAATGAATAAGAAAAATTTATTAGCATGGTAATCTCTGAGAGGATTGTCACTTTATTTCAATAGATTTGAAATTCTGAAGGATCTTTCTTACAGTTTCCATCAGAACATTCTCACTATGGAAAAATAAATTGCCCCTCTAGGGATTTACACTCCCAGATTGCCACATGATGCACTGACATTCTATTGTGCTGCTGATTTGAAGATCTGCATTTATGTTCTAATCTAGGCTGATGTTTCTAAGACTGTGGCTTACCATCTCTGTTCTCTTATTTCTGTCCTGATTCTGGAAAAATCTCAAGGATAAACACTGGTCTTTTTTATATTTAGTGGCTATCTTGAGTATCTTTGGGTCTGAGTTTAGTAATTTTGATGGTTTATTCATCAATCTTTATTCTCGAGTGCCATGTTCATTCAGACCTTTTCCCCACCCCACAGCAGTTGAATTGGCTTTGGGTATGGTTCCAAGCAGAAATTCAAGAAGTAAACTCCCCATGTATAGGAGAAGAATAGACATAATGCCATTCATTGATTACCTCATTTTTTAGGAATTAAAATATATCAAATCCATATATCAATATCTTAGAGTAATAATAAAATTAGTTTTAAATTTTTTTTTTCTTTTTTTTTGCCACAAAGATATTTATAAGTATTCTACAGACAGAGACAATCTGAAGAAGGACATAAAAGTGATTTTTGTTTTGTATTATAGTTTGAAGATTCTTAGCCACATGATACAAAAGAAACTCATTATTCAAGAGGAAATAGAAAAATCCTTGTTTCCTGTTTGAGAATGAAGCTTAAGCTCATTAAGTGTGAAGTGGACTGGATGGGTGAGCCAACTGGATTTTGTAAGTTGAAGGCAGCTAAGTTAAGTTTTTAACACCATTTGGCTGGTAAACTTGATTCGTGATTCTTTCATTTCCTCTGGGACTTGGATTGTGTAGGTAGCGGATATTATTTGTTGTCCAGCATTCAATAATTTCTTAGGTAGTATAGATGGTCCTTTTTATGATACCAATAGCATTGACAGATATTTTTGCCTAAAACGTCAATAAACATTATTTCTTACCTTGCATATGTACTGGAAGCAGGACAAAAAAGAGATGGAAGTAATCATTACTTTCTCCCAATTTCACTTTGTTTTGACATTAACATCTAACTTAGCTAATTTTAATCCAGCAAACACTTATCTAGCATTGTTTATACACAAAACTTTTTATAAGATCCATTGGGGAATCAAAGATGAAACTTGAACTGTAAACTTTGTTTTGGGAAGCTGTTGCTCTGTGGACTCTATTTATCCCCCTCGTGTTAGTTTTAGAGAGTTTGGGTATAAGAATAAAACGGAAGTGCTAGGTATGTGTTGGTTCCACAGCTGAGCAGCCCCAGGAGTCTGAGACAGCTATGCTCCCTCAGGATCCACAGTGACAGGACGTAAGCCCGCACCGAGGCCCCCTGCCCCGGCACAGCACTTAGACACACTAACCTCTCAGTCCAGAGATGTGCACATGAACAAGGCTGCTGGAAACCGGAGCCCTTCCACAGGATCTTCCCTGGTGGCAGGCTGGTTTAATCAGGAAGCCCCAGAATCAGACCCGAAACAGAACAGGTTGCCTTTATCCCCTGTCAGTTACTTATGCTTTTCCAGTTCCATCCTTCTCCCTGTCCTCCAAATAGTATGTACCTTTAGCTCCTTTAAGGAACCGAATAAGAACTCATAGCTATCGTTTATTGAGCAGCGTGTTAACCGTTTCATATACGTCACTCTATCTAATCTTTGAGAACACTCTGTGGAATAGAAACTATTAGGCAGATGAGGAAACGACATGATGACCATCTCCTGTGAGATTATTTGAGATTTTCCAGCTTTGTGCTATTATTTCCCGAAGTTTCTAAAATAGGTATACATGTAGGTCACCACCAGTTAACACTACTATAAACATGGAAAAACATGAGGGGCAGCAGGAGGGCCAGCTGCTTGTTTTCTCTCTGGAGATGCAGACCGGCCGGGGCCCTGGCCGCAGTGTGAGTTTCAGTATGGCTCTCTACCGCCAGCGGTTCCTGCCAACGTGACAGAAAACACACTGAGCGCAGCAGGAGGAGGGAGGCCTCTGCTCTATGCATGGGCGATTTGGGTATAATATTTATCAATGCCGATCGCCTGGATTGCTTTGGCTGATCTGGCTGGCTTGGGGGATTTTTCCATTCTTCCTTCATTTGCTCCATACGTTTCCTTTCCAAAACCTCTGCTCCCCTCTGTCCAAGAGAACGTGTTTCCACTAGCAGAAGTGGGGCAAGATCTCTCTCTTCTGTTAAAAAGTTATTCTTTAGAAAAGCCCCTTGTGCGTCCCGATGTAGGTTGCGAATTCACTGTACACAAAGCTGGTGGATCTGATCAATGATTTAAGAGCCAGTAATGAGAGCTCCAGGCAGACACAGAGCACGTCCACTGCTCTTTTTAAAGGCTGCTGGTTGAGAGTGGAATGCAGAGGAAATGAGCGCTGTGAGAAGACTAGGACATCTCTGAAGCTATGTATTTGGTTCCCTATTTTCTCTCTGGCCTGGACTCTGGATAGTGAACTGCATTCATACTTCTGTCACTAAGATCCTTTCCAGCGCTCCCTATTGGCTTTGAAGTTCAAGTCTTTCATTCTCTCGCCCACCCTTATTTTCTGTCCCGTTGCATGCCGCTTTTTTGCACTTGTCCTGCTCAAGAGCCCACCATAGCTGTTGAATATTTAACGGCTGGGATCGTTTTGCAGGTTTTAGTTTAAAGGTAACCATAGCGGGCGCGCGCACACACACACACACACACACTCACACACACTCTCTCTTACACACACACACACACACACACACACACACTCACATTCATTATTCATAGCAGAGATGCGCTGTGAGTTCTTGGGAATCTTCTTTCCTCTCGATGTTCGTCTCCTATGCGTGCTGCTGCCCCAGGAATGCCTTCCCGATGAGGCCACGGGGCAGGGGGCCTCCTGCTGTGACTGACAGGACGATGTGACCCGCCGTGCGGGGTGGCCGTGACCGTGACCATGCTCAAGCGGGAGACGAAGCCGGAGGGCGACCGGCCGCGCAGAGTGCGGTTCCGGATCGCGTCCTCGCACAGCGGGCGGGTGCTGCGGGAGGTGTACGAGGACGGGCAGCCGGCCGGCTCCCTGGACTCCGAGTGCGCCAGCGTCTGCGGCATCGACGGCCTGAGCGAGCCCGACGGGCAGCAGAACGGCCACCTGGGCTCCGAGGGCGACGAGCAGGAGAGCGACCAGGACAGCCTGCTGGCGCTGGCCAGGGCGGCCAGCGAGAAGGGCTTTGGCACCAGGAGGGTCAACATCCTAAGCAAAAACGGGACCGTCCGGGGCGTCAAATACAAAGTGAGTGCTGGCCAGGCTCTGTTTGACAATCTGACCAAAGTGTTGCAGGTAAGTCTTTGTTGCTCTTCGCTGCTCCTCCGCTCCTCCTGACCTTGAACCCGACTCGCCACCTCCACTCCGCGCTGTGCTCCAGTTTTAAAGCGAGCCTGTCTTACCCACGGCTCCTGCATACTTCATGAGCCACTTTCCCATCTGAGGCATCGTCCCCAGCGCCACTGATAAGAAAGCAGGTTATGCTGCTTAGCCAACTAGGTGGACTTTTCAAAGCCGAATTTCTACCAGGGAAGGGGTCTTTTCTTCCAGTGTGCCATGACTACAACAACATGTGTATTTCTTAACCAAGAAAAACAAACAAACCAACCAAACAAACACAAAACACTATAGTGTTCAAAGCATCTGAGCAAAACTTAGAAGTTAATGTCTGGCTTATCCTCCTGAAGACACCGGGTTGGTGTTTATCATTACTTGAGCATGTGTTTAAAGCAGAGAGAGATTGAGTGCTGCAGTCGGTGGGGGTGGACTCAGTTGGCTGTTGTAAAGAGAGAGAGGCTAGCTCTACCTCTCTCACTCATTCCTGAGGTGGCTGCAGGCTCATCTGAATTGCATTTCTCCATTAATTTGCTCTTTGGAACTCTGAGAGTAGTACTTACAAAATTTATTCTTCTATAAACGTACAGACGGAGACCCAGATTTTATAGTAAAAAATATCGCTCTTAAAATGTGATAGATTCTGCTCAGTAATGTAGGAATGTATTATTCAGGGCTTGGGCCCTTGGCGATGAATTAATGTTAAGATAGCTTTTGGAATTGTCTGGAAACATTAGTAAGATGATTTTTTTTGGTTAAAAATAGGGATCAGATTCAGGAATGAAATTCATTGCCACTATCATTAAGGTAGCAAACCAGTATTTTTTCATTGTAATACCATTTTATGTTATTCTCAGTATTTAAATAAAATTATATCTTGTGAATTATTCAATGCCTTGACATTATGTAAAGCTGCTGGAGAAAGGGTTTTTTAAAAGGTACTTGACTATTTTTTTTTATTTTAAAGGAAGTATTTGGAAAGATCATGCTATGAGAACTTCATAAAAGAAAATAAAGTGTAAAGACAGACAGCTAAATTTTAGACAGTAATTAAATTTCAGGTTATTTTCATATATAAAACCTGTGAAGGATTTCATAGTTTAACAGTGGAAGTTGGGAACCAAAAAATCAGAAATGGATGACTACATTTTACTAGGTTGGAAAAAATCTTGTATAGATTTCTAGATATGAGACTATTAAGTTGAAATCATCTTAGTGGCCTTTATGTTTCCCTAAATGCAGATATTATTTTTGCCAAGGTGTAGACCAAGACTATACAACAATTAAATTAAAAAAATTATTGCATTTATTGTAGTTCATTTAGTGTGTCATGATTCTAAAGGCTTTATGTTTTGGAACATTATTTATAAAACTGCTGTACACATTTTAGTACTTTGACTTGAATTTGTTCAAATCTCTCCCTCTCAAAAAAAACACACAAAACTCTCTTTTTTGAATAAGTACCCTAAATCTTTAAAACCTACAAGAATTTTTTTTTCCTCCTATGGCTTTATTCTGATGGTGCTATAAATTTGCAAATAGAAAATGGGGGAAAAATTCCAAGTCAAAATTTTAGTACTAGATTAGCTTATAATATTTACTTGCATATTTTTTCTATGCATAATCCCATTGCTCATTTTGGGAAAGAAATAAAACTGTCATTTTATAATACTTTAACCCCATTCCAATATACTTTAAGAGGAAAATAGTGGTTACTAGCAGAGGTCTCTCAAAGTCTTTGATATTGAATCAGTCCCTCTTTCCTACCCCAAACCTAGTCCTTCTTCCTTTATAATGTGGGTAATCAGCATATTGCAGATATTCACTAATTTTGGCCATCAGCATCAGTTCATCATCACCACCATCATCATCATCTTTCTGATCTGAATGTTTTCTGATCTCTCCAGGACAACACAAAAGTTAAAGGCACTCCTACCTTGAATCAAGGCTGCCAGTTGCACGATTTCAAGGGCTCCATTCACCTAATTGCCTGGGTGAACAGCACTCCCTGCAGTTGTGCAATAGAACCTACACAGCATTAGGTAGAGAGCTGACTTGGATAATTGCTGCTGCTAAGGGATGTGTCGTAAGTGGTGATAAGTGTCTTAGGCATATGTCTTAGAATGATTGAGTTTCCACGTGCATTCCCCAATGCGATAGCAGAGGAGTTCTAGGGGCTAAAAGCAGAAGTTAATTTCAATTCTTTACGTACTAGGTTATGGGGTCACATGTGACTCTTCCTTGGATCTCTTTATGTTTTCCATATCCCATGGAAAGGAAGCAGCAAACTTAGCTACATGCAACTATAACAGCAATTTCTCTTAGCAAAGGAAAAGCGAGGACTTGTGTCTTGGATATTTGATTAAGGTTCCAGTGCACAGACAGTCTTACTGAAGCAAGGAAGTGTGATTGGAGAAATAGTCAGGTCTTTCTTCCTGTTTTCAGTCATAAAATCTTGAAGCACTCAACTTGAAACTTGAGAGGAAACTCTAAATATAACTAAAATCTTTCAAAGACTCCATCAGTTACTTTACTTCCTCTCTATTAGTTTACCATTCTGTTATTCCTATCTCATTAAATACTTGGCATGGGCTGTGTAAAAATTTTAACTGTGCAGAGAATAGTCTTTGAAATCATTTGCTTAACACAATTTTACTTCTTAGCAGCACTTATTTAAAAAGTCGTCTATGAAAGAGCTACTAGAACAAATTTTCACTTGATTTATCAATTACTATTCCTTGTAGAATTCTGAGCAATTGAGGATGTACAATATTAAAAAAGGTTGCTATGGGTAGTGATGAGTCAGAAGGCGTAGAGAGAAAGGATACCTAGATTCTCAGAGAAGTCTTGTAGCAGGTGGATTGTTGGATCCTTGGTGAATTGCTCAAGGACCTCCAGCCAGTCTAGATTGTAGCTCTTCAGATTCAGATGTCTGACTTTTCTAGCTCCCATAGAGATGCCAAAAATTTAATAGTCAGGAGAGACTGGTTTGAAAATCTGAAAACCTAGAATCTAGTAGAGGCCTGGAAATATGCATTTATTGGAAGCTCTCCAGGTTGTTCTTACATACATTAATGCTTGAGAATCACTGACCTAGAGTGTAAAAGGGAAACTCATCCAGTTTCCTAAAGTTAAACATATTCCATAATTTTTTTATGTCTTCAATATTTAATGAGGAGAACAAAGAAGATATAGATTGATCTATGATTTGTTAGATCATAAGGAGGGTTTTTCCTGAGCCAAGGAGAATAAAGATATCCTGACAGCCACATATTATAATTTGGTGGCTCCTTCTAAGAACTCAGTTACATATATATTATACATGAGAGTTCTTTTAAAAATATATATATTTTATTGATTTTTTTATAGAGAAAAAAGGAGAGGGATAGAGAGTTAAAAACAGCAATGAGAGGGAAATATCAATCAGCTGCCTTCTGCACACATCCTACTGAGAATGTGTACACAACCAATGTATAATACATGCCCTTGACTGGAATCAAACCTGGGACCCTTCAGTCTGCAGGCTGACTCTTTATCCACTGAGCCAAACTGATTAGGGCTCCTGTGAGTATTCTAACATATCAATTAGTTAGCTCAGGAGCAGACCCAGATATCTTACCAGTACACTCTGATATAGGTGTAATGTTTTGGTTATTTTTAAGACATTTAGCTGTAAGAACATTTCTACCTAGATAAATGATTTTATCCCTCATTAATGGAATATTTTAGAAATAAATTATTTTTAATTTTTAAAAGAAGTCACTGTGTTACCCTATGCAACACAAATTACAGAGCCACTGTGTAGCTCATAGCTCTCATCACCCAGTTTGCATGATTGGATTTGAGCTATACCTTGTTCTTAGAAGCAACATACTTCCAAAGTCTCTTAGGGTGGGTCAGTGATTCAGGTAATTAAGGTAATTAATTTTTCTAATTTATTCTTTCAGGATTAAATTTCAGATAGTAATTAAATTTCAGACAGTAAGCTTATCTTGACCTTGTCCTCAAGCTTGTATATTCTGTTAGAATCTTCTATTGTAATTTTCATAATATCATTTCTCTATTTTTCTACAAATTTAAAGTTGTTGTATAGAGAAAAATAGATTCAAAGAAGGAAAATAATTACACCACATATTATAATTTGGTGGCTCCTTCTAAGAACTCAACTATATATATATAGTAGTTAGTGTGCTTATATTTATGAGTATTCTAATATTTTAAGACAAAATAAAAGTACTATTGAATTTGCAAAATGAGTTGCATTTTGCAGGTTTCCACATACATAATTTTGCTTCAGTGTACCCAAAATTTTGTGAAATGAGCAAGAAAATTATTATTATAATACAGTTTTTAGATTATTGAGTATCAGAGAAATCAAGCATCCGGCCCAGAGCTAGTAACATAAGAACTATGCTTTTCTCTGTTTTAGCTATGTACATCTTACAAAATATAATGCCATATGCAAAAACTCTCAACTTTACCTTTTGAAGTATTATAATTACTAATATGAAGATTTATAAGGCTAACTAAGTCATGTTGTGGTTTAATCTGATCTTTTGAAAGGTCAACATTTGGTTAGAAGATTTTAAAATCTATTATTTAGTGAATATTTCATCTTCAGCTAGGGAAGGTATTTCTGTAGAGTTAAATCACCTCCATTCATTTTAAAATTGTATTTTTTAAATGTATCCAAACTTATCATGTCTATCACATCATTTGATTAAATTACCATGAAGTTACAAGGGTTACCTTTGGAACAGGATGCCTTAATAATTTCAATAAAGACTGTGCTCAGTGTTGTTCACTGACTTTAAGATGGATATTAACAGACATTTCCAGTCATAGTTATTATCTGTCTCTGGCTCACTGAACCCAGCTTTGTTAATAGAATATTACTCCAGTGAAAACAAGGTGATGTTCTTCATGGCTCCTTGGTCTCAGTATTTTATCTGGACCACTTT